GTTGTATTAAAGAGCAAGAGTAAGAGAGAAAAAGAGCGCCGGGCGAGCGAGCAAAACGAACGTGACGAAACAAACAGAGAGAAAGTAAGAGAGAGAGAGTGAGAGAGAGTAGAGCGCAGAGAGCAGAGAGCGCGCGCGTGGCATGTTTTGTTTTGATATCATTTCATTTTTGGCATTTTTTAAGTGATTTTATTTGGCGCTTCTTCATGATATTTGGTTTTGTTGTTCGGTGTACACGAGCGAGCAGGTGAACAGAGCAACAGAGAGAGAGAGAGAGAGAGAGACAGCAAATGAATTAGTAATACTCAATTTTTGTTGTTCTTTTTGTTTTTGCTTTCTTTTGTTGCTACTGATGTCTTTGAGCCCAGTTGCTAATTAAAAATCAGTCTGGTTAGTAGCAAAAAAAGAGACAAAACAAAAACAACAAAAAAGTGTATTAATTAGTAAAGGATTTAATTAAGCGAAAGCCCTTGTACATTTAGCCAAGACCAGAACCACAAGTTCAATTCTTGGTTCCGATCTTGGGTACAGCTCATTCGCTCTTATTAAATCCGTCTTTGGGCTTGCTGATGTTCCTCTTGCTGCTTGTTTGTTTTTTTTTTTTTAGTAGTGTGCGCTGCATTAATTTTTTTTCGGTTATGATTCACTAACAAGTCAAACTCAACACGAGCATTATATATATAGTAGAGTAACGAGCTAGTTCAAAGAAACGAACCAACTGGAACAAAGCAACTGGAACGACGTGCGGTTTTTTTTTTTTTTTTTTTTGACTGTTAGAGAGGATATGAAACGTAGGCAAGTGGCAGGTGGTAGGGAGTTAGAACACGTGCACACAGCATAGCGCACCTTCGTAGCTAACCGATGGGCTAACCGACGCCGCCACCGACTCCTGGCGTCCACCAGGTGTGGCACTTTGCTGCTTGATAATCGGTCGCAGTTTCAGATTGCAAAAGTCACGATCATTGCAGCACGCATGACCGCCCCGACGTGCGGCTGGCCGAGCCGTTGGCCCGCCTCGTCGGCCCTCGTTGCACCAAATGAAACGGCCCGGCGGGAAGCTCTGCGACATGTTGAGGCAGCTACACAACGAATTTATGCAACACACACAGACATTCAGAATTTCTCCTGTGCTGTTGTTGTTGTTGTTGCCTTTGAGCATAATGGCAGCAAAAGAAAAACTTACCGAAAACTGAAGATTATCTTGCTGTCGGTGTCCTTCTCCACAGACGTAAAACAATAGCCATCCGTTTCACAGATATGATTCGTCTCTTTGCAGATATCGCAATGGCATTTGATCGCCTCTGTAACGTTACATAAATAAAGGGAAATTTAATATAAATTGATTACACTGGAAAATTCCAATGAGAATTCATTCAAAATTAATTCGCATGTCTCTATCAGCTACTTAGCTAAAAATTTCTCACATTAGAGTAATAGAAATTCAACGAATCAAAAAATCCTTCTATATATTTCTTTTCAGTTTGACTATGCTTAAATTTATATATTAATATAAACATCGCATAGAATTAAGACCAACATAATTATAAATTAATCTACATAAATTTATTTTGCAACGCAAAATCAAATATATATAAATTAATAAATATTCCAGTTTACAAGCAATCGAACATTCTCTATTACAAACTCTTATTTAAATTTCCCTTTATTTTATGCGCATACATTATAATCCGATTAGTCATCAACACTCTCTCGATTATAGATCCTAAACTCGGTAAATTAAATTTCCCTTAATTTCCTTCAGTCAATTATGAATCCCTTCTCTCTGTTGATCCTTACATTCATTATTCCCAAACTCGGTCAACCAAATTCCCCTTAATTTCCCTCCCATAAACATATAATTCCAATCGGCAACAACAGCTCTTAGCCATCAGCTCGTGAGGCAAACGTCGCTTTCTGTCCAATTAGCAGCCCGCTGCTAGCTGCCCGTTTAAAGATTCATTAATCATAATTCGGTCTCGTATTGATTTTCTTAAGCGATCGCAGACATGGCTTTGCATTCCCCGCTACCTGCTACCCACTGCACGCTCGTGGCTCTGGCCAAACAGGGCCTGAAGTGCCGCCGTCGAAGTAGGCGCACTCAGATTACAAAATGAAAAGAAAAACAAAAGGCATTTAGCATAAAAAAAATGAAAAACAACAACAAAAACAACAACAAGCCGCGACGCGCCGAGAAGACAAGTGCAAAGCGGAAAGCATAAAGAACCCAGACGAAGTCGACGTCGCTGCCGGCGTTGCGCGCCAGTTTTATTTAACTGCTGGTGCTGCAGTTGCAGTTGCATTGCTGCAGTTCAAGTTGCGGGGGTGGGAGACTGCAGTCGGCTCGTGTGGGGGAGGCAGAGCAGCAGACAGAGAGTAGGAGAGGGAGAGTAGAAGGAGGGCACTTGAGCGCTTTGTCTGCAGCAGTGCGGCGCATTGACATCGACGCTGACGCTGACGTCACGAGGCGAGACAAGTCAGAGACAGCGGCAGACATAGAGACAGACAGACGAACGGACAGACAAACGCTTGGCGGGCTTTCAACTCGCTCGAGCTGCTTTTTGAGGTGTTAAAGTCACGCGAGGGCCGTTGGCTGCTTCTTATTGGACTTACTCTCGTGTTTCTTGTTCTGCAGCGGCGGGAATGTGGGCGCCGACTGGCGCAGCTGAGGGGAAGCCGCGACGGCAGCGTCTGTTGCGTGCAATTGTAGGGGCACTAAGCTGCTGTTGTTATTGTTGTTGTTGTTGCCATGGCCGCTGTTATCAGCGTAAGGCAGCGACGATTTGGTTAGATAAGCGCCAGCTGTTTCATTTCTTGTTGTTGCTGTTGTTGTTCTCGCCGTCGTCGTTGTTGTTGTTGTCGCTGCTGCTGCTGGCAACAATTTGTGGCCAGCTTTGCCACCGCCAGCTTCATTTGTGGTATTTATAACGATCTCAATGGGCGAAGCTGCAGAGCAAAAGAGAGAGAGTATGAATTTAGGTTAGTTTCGCAACTCCAATAAGAAAACGTTATGTATGTGTGTAAGAGCCAAAGAAGAATATCCTGGAACTTACCGCAGCTGGCGTTGAGCAGCGCCAATAGGCAAAGCAGTTTTGGCCACATATTTGTTTTGTATTTGCTTTATGATAAATGCGCTTGTTATTGTTTTCTTGTTTGTGCTTTTCTTTTGTTTTCCGCGCGCGCACAAAAACAGACACACACACACGCACACAAGCACACGGCTCAAAGTCTGTGTGGGGAGCCAAAGAGGCAACGAAACTTATTTTTCACTCCTTGACGACACAAACAAAACTATGCAAAGGATACGGCAACGCCGACAACTAATTTGCTTTGTATTGCGCATTTATTGCATAGGACACGGTTGGGGGCGGTGGGCGTGGGACGTTTTTTTGGAGGGGGGACTCGAAGTCGGCCTCGCGCTCTGCTTGCGCCCGCAGCGAGCTTACATTTTGTTTGTGCATTCGTTTCAGCGAGTTGCCACTATTTTGTTTGTAGAGCACCTATTCGTATTTACTCTTGCCAAATTTAGCATATTTGGTTAAAACACACACAGTTAAATGCGTTGCGATTAATCTGACACAATTCGTTCACTTCTTGCAAATCCCAATTAGAAAAATTCACATATCCCCTCCCACTTTTTACGTTGAAGTTTTCAGCCGTATTTTCATCACGTGAGTTTGGCACGGTAGCCGTTTAGTTTTTAATTACAACCTATTTACACTTGTGGCCAGCACTTGGAATTGTATTGTGGAGGTTTTTGTTTGTCTTAAATTGTATTATTTATTTGTTATATATGCAATTTGGTTGAACGAAATCAGCGGAAAACTCGTCTGTGTGCGAGTGCTTTTGCGAACGATGTGGACAGTGTGACCAAGCACCTGAATTGCAAATATACTTCGGTTTGAACGGGAAAAAATACCAGTCACCATAACAACATAGCGTTGCCATCTTCAGCACAACCAGTGTCACCACAAATAACGAAAAATTAACATATTTTGATCTGATTAAATTTATTTAAATATGCACATACATATGTGTGAATAAATATATATATTTATATATAGCATGTGTTAAAAGTGTTTAACAGAAATTTATTTCCTCCTGCGTTTCTTACAGGTCCTATAACTGTTGAACTGCCAATTAATTAACGAAAACATGTTGTCAATTTAACGATGAGAACACTGCCGTTGTCATTGCAAACGATGAAAATATTTATTGCCACAAAAGGCTTAGGAGGGATAAAGGTGGCATTCCAGGCTCCGCACCCTTCGAGAAACCTTTATATGCACAATATAGAAAAGAAAACATTGCTGTCAGTACGATAAAATCAATAAACATGCTTCCGCCGCTGGTACACGTGCTCTCAACACTATTTACCTAAATACAGGACCATTGGGACAAATCCCCAGTGGAATGTGGTTTGAATGATATCGACAACGACTCCAAGACGCTCCTTAGCTCCATCGGAAAGAACCATCTTGATTTGTAATTGTTGAAAAATGCAAGACTTGAAGAACACACACACGCTCGTATTATGAAATGGATTTGCAACGAGTTACCGACTGTAAAAAAAAATAAGACAGTGTTGGTAAACTTGTGAATTTTCTTCATAATTTTGATGTGATATAAGTCGCGCTTACATCGCAATTGGATAAGTGAAATACTGAGAACGAAACATAGATTTTAAATAATTTATATATTCTGTTTTTCCTACGTGCGAAGACTACTCTAATCTGAGAAAACTATAGAAATGAAATGGAATCATGGGGCTGCCATATCGCATTAGGATTCGATACAAAATGTAAACAAAGTTACCGGGCTACCTGATCTTGAAATGAAAACGCGTGTGCAGCAGGTTCTTGTTAGCGATGGTAGCGTGTTAAATAATATTATCGTGTTGTCAAATATATGGCAATACGTTTAAATTAAATAAATTTGTGTTATTTATATTTCAAATAATTCTAGAAAAATCGATTTTGAGGATTTTCGTGAGCACGATGTGTCAAGTCGTGCCGACTCGTGCTTGCTCGTGCTTAAGTTTTTAACTCACATGGGCACGAGCCCAGCCCTAGTTCTTTTCATTAGCAGCCCTGTCAGATGGTGTGGCGTGCTCGCTAGAGAATTTTGTTTGCTTTTTATTTATTAAAACAATTAAATAATAAACGCAACGCAGAACGCTCGGAACTGCATAATAGAGGAGACGTCGAAAAAAGCAGCGCGCCTTCACTTAACTCACACACATACATCATGTAAGCGATTAGCAAGTGTCGACAACTTTCACACTGACATTTTCCAACACAATGAAGCAGGGAAATAAAAAAAAAAAAGAGTGAAAAATCAATTTTGTATTATGTAAGCAGGCCTCTGCTCAAAACTAAAATTTTTATTTATGTTGCAGATAATAATTGATTGTACGGACCATGAAAACAACTAGTATCGGATTATACGCATTTCGTTTAACCTTCGGACAGGTGAGCATACGCAAAATAGCGAATTAATGTGGACGTAAAGTATTGGCAAGTGCAAAAAAAAAATATATGCAAATTCTTAGGGAAATGACGCGTAAATAAAATTTCCCAAAACACGGTGTTTAAAGTCCCATACACACATACACGCACACGTACATGCACTATGGAGAGCCTGCAACCGGGTGATACATGTGTGGAATGCTCCAGCAGAGGCGTAAACCACAAGTTGCGCTATTTTTACATAAATCTTAATGAGCAGTTGCTCAAGTGCGAATCGCGTCGCTGCCTTTGGCCGCATACCGATGCCGTTTCCTCTTCTTCCTCCTCCGATGATGAGCAGGAGACCATCCGGTCACCGAATCACTCGCTAAATTTGGATGACGATGAATTTATTAAGCAGCTGCTGGAAAATCTGACCCCAGATACAGAGATAGCCGAAGCCTCGATGGAAAGTGGGGCAAATAATTCCAAGTGTGACTCCAGCTTAACACCAAATGTCCCATCGAGCAGCAATGTTATTAAGGATCTTTTGGAAGAATCTCATCTGCCTGCAACAACAACTGCCTCAGTAATATCTATGCCGAATATATTTGGTGAATTTGAGCAGCAACCTGAGCACACTGCATTTAATCTCGAACCTGAGAATGCTCCTCCATTCCAATTGAGTGCCAAGGCTGGCGACTTTGCCTACACAATTTCCATTTCGCAGGAGTTGCCGACACCCAAGATCGCACTAGAAAAGGAGTTGCCCACACCTATGATCCCTCTCGAAAAGGAGTTGCCAACACCTATGATCCCACTCGAAAAGGAGTTGCCCACACCTATGATCCCACTCGAAAAGGAGTTGCCCAAGGCTAGTACCTTTCAGACACCGCCTAGAAAAGCATCCACACTTCCCCGTTCAGAGTTGCAGTCGAGGCCAATGCCACCGGCCGCACCCACAACAATTGCATCAAGTACAGCCGCTAGCCAGTTCCTGAATGCCCTAAAAGCGCAACCAGTGCAAGGTGCACGGACTAAACGCACCAGACAACCCCCCCGCCCCGAAAGTTCAAGCGGTGGAGGCAGCCCCCGATTCAGCACTCAAGATATCAAGCAGACGCTGGAACGCATCAACAACCAGAAGTAGGGCAAAGCTGAAAGTGAATCGGAACCGGAACTGGAGCAGGAAGCGAATCTCTATGCAAATGGACAGCAGAAGGAAGCGAATAACATAAACAAATCAAAGTGATTTTTGGAAATATTCGCAAACAGAATTTAAAATAATATGAGAGAGTGTATGTGTGAGTGTATGCAAACAATTCCCATTTATATATAAACATTCGAGATTTTTGACGGTCACCGTTTTATTTATGCTCGGCACGCGTCCACCGCATGTTGAGCAATGGTCGCCAAATCGGGCGATAGCGCCGCGAGAAATTACAGATTAAGAAAGAAGCAGAGAAAGGAGGCAAGCGGGTCAGAGCAAGTGCGTCACGAGATGCAATTCGATGCGAAGCGCAGCCGCTAACAGATGAATGAAATGAACAGTGGTACAAAGGCTATTGAATGAGTAAAACTTGAAATAATCAGATAAGCAAAAATCTGAGATAATTTATAAAAATGTGATAATAATATAAATCAAATAATAATAATATAATTGCTCATAACAAAAAAAAAAATGAAACATGAACAAAAATAGAAAATCTACAACAAAAATAGTTTTTAAATACTAAAAGTATGTTTTAAATTAAAAATAAAAATATCGAAACAAAATATATATTTTGCAAATATATATAAAAAAAAAAAAAAAAAATAAATAAATAAACAAACAAAAATGTTTTCTTATATAAAATATTATAATTTCAATTTTAAAAAATATATATTGGGTAGTCTAAAAAGTTTTTTCGTATTTTGCCAATAGATGTCGTTGGCGTCGTATATCTCCAGTGCTACCAATCACATTGTGTACACATTGTGGTGTTCGATTGGTAGCACTTTAAGCTTCGATTGCCAAAAAAAAAAAAATGTAATTCAAAGAATTTGAAAAAAGTTACAGCTGTTCAAAAATGAGTGAAAATAAAGAAGAAATTCGCTATATTTTGAAATTTTTGTATAAAAAAGGGAAGAATGCCACGCAAGCCACTAATGAAATTTGTGATGTTTACGGTGACGATGCTCTATCAGTTCGTGTAGCACAACAATGGTTCGCACGCTTCCGTTCAGGAAATTTCGATGTGAAAGATGCACCTTGCTCTGGTCGACCAATCTTTGAAAAAGTCGATGAAATTATGGAAAGGATTGACCAAGACCGTCACATAAGCAGCCATGACATCGCAAATGAACTAAACATTCATCATCAAACGGTTCTGAACCATTTAGAAAAGGCTGGCTACAAAAAAAGCTCGATGTATGGATACCACATGAATTGTCTGTGAAAAATTTATTGGACAGAATTAACATTTGCGATTCTTTGCTGAAACGAAATGAAATCGAACCATTTCTGAAGAGAATGGTAACAGGAGACGAAAAATGGATCAAATACGACAATAATGTGCGAAAAAGATCATGGTGCAAGAGTGGTGAAGCTCAACAAATGGTCGCAAAGCCAGGATTGACGGCTCGAAAGGTAATGCTGTGTGTTTGGTGGGATTGGAAAGGAATAATCCACTATGAGCTGCTTCAGCCTGGTCAAACGATTGATTCGACACTTTACTGTGGACAACTGATGAGATTGAAGCAAGCAATCGAAAAAAAACGGCCAGAACTGATCAACAGAAAGGGCATCGTATTCCATCAGGACAACGCCAGACCACACACATCTTTGATGACCCGGCAAACACTGAGAGAGCTTGGCTGGGAAGTTTTAATGCATCCACCATATAGCCCTGACCTTGCACCTTCGGACTACCATTTATTTCGGTCAATGCAGAACTCCCTTAACGGAGTAAAGTTGGCTTCAAGAGAAGCCTGTGAAAATCACTTGAAGCAGTTTTTCAAAGAGAAACCACGAAAGTTTTACACGAATGGAATTATGTCTCTAGTGGAAAAATGGCAAAAGGTGGTCGACCAAAATGGTGCATATTTGATTTAATAAAGTTTATTATAAATATTTAAAAATATGATTTGAAGTTTCATTACAAATACGAAAAGACTTTTTAGACTACCCAATATATAATTGAAATATTTGAATTCGTCCAATTATAAAAAAAAAAAACGAAATATTTGTAAAAACTCATTAAAACTATCTTTAAAACAAGATTATATTTTAAAAATTTTGAAAAAAATTTATTTTTTAATATTCTAATATTCTAATATTCTATTCTAATATATCTGAAAATATATTATAAAAAAAACATTAAGAACAAGTAAATAAATTTCAGTATTATTACACATAGAAAATTTTATATCTCCTGGCATTTGTCCTAAAAAAAAAAAAAAAACTCAGCGATTAAGCTAACTAATCTAAACCAATTTTAAATTCAACTCCTATTCATTCAGCCTTTGACCATTGTGCCACTTGTTGACGTCACCTGCCACGAGTCTCCAGCTTTTTGCGTCTTTGAAACTAACATTGAGAATGCAAACACCCAACTAATTGTTACAATAACAACAGCCATAAAACGACAATTACATCAGAGACGTTGCTGGGGGCTATTCTATACGTATAAATATACATAAACTAAACAGATAACTGTACACGTAGAATAAGTCGGGCAGGTGTTACAAGTTCAACCACATTGCGATTACACGATAATTCGTTAATCAGTTCAATGAACGTGGGAATTCGCCAGTGCCGTGGATTTTTATTTTTTATTTGGGGCATTTGAACATGTCTGGCACGCCCACCCAGACAAACGCCTCTTTCTGTTGCCAACTGCAATTGAAATACAAAAATGCTGCGTAGTAGAAACCGTCAACGGAATTCTTTCTCTTTGGGCATTTGGCCAATTTGGCTAACGTTTGACGTAGCTAAATATAGCGAAGCCAAGCAAACAAAATAAAACTGATAAGACTTGCTATGCACATACCTGTTTATCGTACCGGTTTCAAGTTGGATTTCCTCTAATTTGTGATTACGTTTTATCTATCTCGTTTCAGGCACCGCCGCTCTCCGCGCAGGCCTCGACGCATAGCAGCCATGCGTTCACCACCAGCTCGTCGGCGCCCAATCGTGTGGTGACCCGATCAGCCACGATGTTGGCCCTGTTTGGCATTGCGCTGTCCTCGTTCAGCCTGAAGCAGTTGTTGGCCAAGAAGCACAACAAATCCAATGCTATGCGCAAACTCTAAGCCCAGAAATGGAGCCAACTGCTGCAAGCGAACGTTAATTTTGGATGCGAGCCAGAGTCGGAGTTGGAGTCCTTCAGCCATGTTCAGCAAATCATCATCCAGAAAACCATACTAAGTTCTCATGCTTATCCATAGTGTATATTTCTTAAGTTTAAGTCATCAGCCATAAACACATTCACGTTCACACACACACACACACACATTCAGATAGCGACATGGCTAATCAGCTCGAGTGTTTAGTTAAAAAGAGCAGAAGCAAACAATTTGTGTGTTAAAAACTAGGCAGTTATATATATGTGCATCCATATGTATGTATCCATGTATATGTACAAATTATATATTTTGAAATGCAGCGATTAGTATGTATGTATATATTTTCTTGTTCGCACACACACACCACACACAGACAGACAGATAGAGAGAAGCATACACACACGTACACACTCACTGAGAGACAAAAATTTAATAAAATTTGTGATAGTTAATTGTCTACTAATAATGATGATCATAATGATCACGATGTTGATGCTTGTGAGTGTTGCAGTTCAATAGCTGAGCCCGTCTCATCATCGATAGTCATTTTAACTGTTTATTTTTTGATTACCTATAGTCTGTATAAAAGTATGTGTTAACAAGTCGCAATATGAACCTATATTTATATATATATATATACATAATCTTTTAGTTATGCATTATCTAAATTGTAACAACTATGAAAACGACTAAGTGAAAAAAGATAACGGAAACAAAGAGGAATCAAAATAACAATTGATGCGGCGGGAAAATCAATTGCCAAATTATATGGGCTGCTGGAGCTCGGCGCAGTATACAACTATTATTTTAGCTTTAGTTCAATTTAATATTTCAAATAAATGATTTATTATCAAAATTCAATGTTTTTATTATTTCCAAACAATTATATCATATAACAGCAATATTCTCACATTTGTCCTATAAGATGATAAATTTTCATGTATTCATCATATGTTTTATCAGCATTTCCCTAAAGATATAGTTAATCTCATCTACTTACCATGCTATAGTAGTATAAAGCAAAGTCCACGAACTGTTCCTTATATTTAACAAATTTCTTATCAGCTCAGCTAAGCTAATATGCGTTCTACAATATGATCTATAATATAATGCATGTTATTGCATTATCTTACAAAATTCGCATTTACATATCATCAGGTTTGAAATGTCGTACTTTGATTGCTCAGCATTTGCAGCAAGAATTCTCTTATAAATGTTGCCAAGCGATAATGCTTCCTGTTCTATATACTATATTAAACTATCATTGTTAACAAATTCCTAATATAATCAATCACTGTGAATTTAACAAGTTCCCAATATAATCAACAATTTCCCTAGAATTCTGGCTAATCTAAACTATTAGAAAATTTTCTTAAATCCGTTACATTCCTAATTTATAATGTATACTTGTCTATATATATATTATATTATTATTATCATAGGCAATAAATTGCAATACTCAACAAAAATTCTCTTATGCTTATATGAAACTAATTTATATTGATTCTGCAGCCTAGGTGCTAAATAATTAAATCTCCTCGATGTTGTAAACACAGTCTCCTGCTGCTGCTTTTTGACCTGTTGCGCTTCGTCCTGTTTGCATTCAATTTGAAACCGATTGCTGCAGCTCTCTGAATCATCGTGGAGTTCCTGGCAGCGTTTTGTTGCCTCCCCCAGCTGCAACGTTCTCTCAGATGGCAGTGGATAGCCCCTCTTGAGCAGCATATTGTAGACACTTGGACTGGTGACATACAGCCCACAGGAGTCGCGCAGATCCTGCTGCTGCCACACCATACGTTTGCCGCTTTGCAACTTCTGTAGCTGCGCCTTCGAGAAGGTTCTGCTTAAGTTAGCGTACAATTCGTTGTACCTTTCATTGCGATTGGTCAGCTGCTTCTGCAGCCTCTCAATTGTTGTCGCATCCTTCGCAGCAGCAAGCTTATTTTTCTTCCAGCGCTGTGCGATACGCATCTACATCGACCACCACTGGACCACTTCCATTATCCATCGCCCGCCTCATCCAGCTTCAGCTGTTCGCCTTGCTCTGCTTGCTGTTCATCGTATTCCGTTAATTTTGTTTACGTTGCGCCACATTATTCGCTTTCCAGGCTGTCGTTCGTCCCGGTTACCAAACAAATATTTTCCCACTTGACATTTATTTTATTTGTGCGCCGGCAGAATTTAATCCGTTTCTCACAGAGCTTTGCATCCTTTGGAAATGAAAAGTAACGGGGTTCCCTCTTTAGAA